CACTATTCACACGTCTCTTTAAATAGATTTTTAATGATATAACGTCTTTGTGTCATTTGGAGCGACCACTCATCATGTGGTGCGACCAATAATAACAATAACTGATTAAAAATAAAATATCTAATTTCTGTGGTTGAAATATGAATCACTGCTACAGTATGCTTAAGTGAATGGTTTTAAAAAAACATTTTTATCAGTTTTATGCAATTTACAGGAAAAATAAGTCTGTTAACTACATTTAAGAAGGCAACTCTGAAATTATAGAACAAAAATAAGAGATCATTATTTACAGAAACTCAAATTAAATGCAAATACTTTGTTTCTAAACACTTTAATTACTGAGAACATTTAAAAAAACAATTAAGCATGTTAAGGAAATTATTTAATTTTAACATAAATCATGGTCGCACCACATGACATTTTTTAAGGCTACGGCCAATTCATCTAGATGAAACTAAAGACTAAAATCACTTCATTTAAAATTTTAATATGAATTTATGTGTACACAACATTCTTAATGTTTGAACAATTACAATAGATATTATTATTTTTTTGTATTTAAAAATTTACCTGTCAAAAATCCTTATACGTCATTGACCCATATACTGTATATGTATATGGCTCAAAGACGAGGCATCCCATTTTGGTGTCCACATGAAATTAAATTGACAAAAGTGGTTTTATATACACAGAAAGCATATTAAATGCAGTAGAATGTTTACTTTAATGTTTCAAATAACTTTTGTTAAAGTAAAATGTCAGAAACAGATATATTTATATTTATATTTAAAAATGAAACAACACACTTATTCTGCCCTGTAAAAGAAATAAAAGAAAAAGTGATCATACTAAATTTGATTATATTTTAAATGATTAAAAACTTCTTGCTGACAAATGGGCAGTGGTGGAAAGAGTACTGAAAAAATATACGTAAAAGTACCATTACATTCCAAAAAATGTAGTGTGAGTAGAGTAAAAAGTACTTGTCCAAAAAACTACTTGAGTAAGAGTAAAAGAGTAGCCTATTTAAAAGTACTCATGAGTATTGAGTAGTGAGCTGCAGATTCTACCCCCTCATAATAAACGCTGTACACTGCAATTTAAACATTTAGAAAATATTGTACATGCTGTAATTCACATTATCTTTTGTTGTTTGTCAGAAAGAATGAAGAATACCTATCATCCAGCAGTTTTAAAGTGATGAAAAGATTATTATTATTATAAAAAGTTATTCTCAGCACACTCATCACCGTTTAAATCATGTTTGAAAAAGTAGATTTAAAATCAGGTGTAAGGCCACTGAGCCAGAGCATAATATTGTTGCACATAAAATATTAATGTTTAGAACAATTCAAAGAATACAAAACCATTAGAAACTCATACCAGAGCTCAGCATCACACACCATGTGAAAGATTAAAAAATAAATTTCTCGCCAAAACGGTGCCAGTTTTAGCGTTTGGTGATAAAGAAATGAGAATCATAAACATAAGTTATGTTGCAATTTAAACGTAAAAAGCACATTGTTCTAGAAAGAGGGCATCATCCCCTAGCTTTTATACAGCTACATTTACTCAAATTGTTATGCTGATAATACAATTTGTAAGGGGAAAAAATGCAATAAATAGGGAAGTATTTCTGGGTAAACATTTTCAAAAGAAAACACACACACACACATTCTTGCATATGTAGTTTACAGGGACTCTCCATATGGTTTTTATACTGTACAAACTGTATTTTCTATCGCCCTACACCAAAACTACTGGCAATTTAAAAAAAAATGTATTTCATAAAACACCATTTCGTTTGGTTTTTAAGCCTTTTGGTTATAAACCGTGATTACGTGTAGTACTCATGTCATTATTAGAGCCCGACCGATATATCGTTTTGCCGATATTATCGGCCGATATGAGCCTGTCGCCGATATATCGGTATCGGCGAATATGCCGCCGATATGAACTTTTTTTTACAGAACATATAATGCACATAAAATGCTTGAAATTGTGTAGTTACTTAGTTTGTCCAGAAGAGCGTGCTCCATTGTTTGCTACTGGCGACCTGGATGAAACGCTTTAAAGCTTAAGTCTATGGAAAACCATTGAAACTTTGAACGGCCATATCTCTGTAATGGCGTGGCGAATCCGCACCAAATTCGTGGGATCTCTTCAGCTCAAGGAACCCTCTCGAACGCGAATCGAGTGTACGTCTCGAGGCCCTCTTTCGAATGAGACCACCCCCACGTGGATAGCCCCCGGGGTTCGGGAGTTATAGATGGTTGTTCGTGGTCCGGCGCCGACCGATCTAGCGATCCCTGGGGGCTACCGATGCGCGGAGGGTGGCGTTCGAGAGGGCTCCTCGAGCTGAAGGTATCCCCCGAATTTGGTGGAGATCCGCCGGCACGTTCGCGAGATAGTGACACCAGTCAACACTTTCCCTTCAGTAAGGACTTGTTCCGGCAACAGCATTCAAGCGTGGTCTTATTCGACCGTAAGTGCCCTGCGAAGTGGACTTCACATGAAATTCCGCCATTATTCCAGTTCCAAGGGAACGTACATGTTACATTCAAAGGGCATTAAAGTGCGCGAGACGTGAATTTATATTGTATTTATTTACAGAGGTAGGGGAGAGCGGGGCACAAAGTAACACTTTTTGACTTTCTCAGTTTGTGTAAATCCACATGGGGTTCAGAATATATATTTTTTTTAATCCACGGTAATTTTACACTTGTCTAGTACAAATACGTCGTTTTGTTTCATAATTACAGTGTATACGTTTTTCTTTATTTACCTTCAAAAAATGGAAGTGAAATGTGACAACATGCCCGGTAGGTGGAACACATTGTAACACCTGAGGAGCACGTTGTAACTTGACCATATTACAGCTTAAAATCTTATCTGATCGAATGAAAAAAAAATATACAAGACAAACTATAATATTTTGTTAATAAATATATATATATATTTTTTTTTCAAATAAAATAATAGCGTTTTTTAAGAATTAAAAATAATCTGATTTTGGAGTTTGACAACAAACACATTGCAACCATGCTTGGGGCGGCCCACATAAATGAGCAGAAATGCTTTACATGTCTTGAAATAATCATTTCTAAACATTAAACGTTGACTGTCAGTCTTTATTCACCTGTTTCTCATTGTTTCTCATTAAAATTAATTAAAGTAAATAGTGTAAATTACATCGCTAATGTCATAGAATAGCACATTGTAACGCAGTGTTACAACGTGCCCCATCTGCGCAACTGGAATTTAAAACTGGTTAGTGTCTTCTGCTAGTAATCAAAGCATTAAAAAACTATCTGAACTGATAAATAACAGATTGGAGATTTAAAAAATTGCAGATTTGTCTAATTTTAAATGAATAATAAAAACTGAGATAAAAAATTTACTTAAGCCAGAATTTAAATGTTACTATGGTAAAATAAATATTCAAACCACGTGTGTTACAACTAACACCCCGTTACTTTGTGCATCGCACTCATCACAAGTTTATTGTTAAATGCCCTTACATATCTCTGTCACCATTATAAGTGTTTGATCACCACATTTGAGTGATCATTGCAAAAAATGTGTTTATGTATATATATTCTGTTTGTGTATATACTGTATTCTATATATAATACCAGTCAAATGTTTGTACACACGAATGGGAAAGTGTCCAAACTTTTGACTGGTACTGTACTATAATATACACAAAGAATATCGGCCGATATATCGGTATCTGCCTTTATTTTACTCCCTAATATCGGTATCGGTATCGGCCCCAAAAAAACCATATCGGTCGGGCTCTAGTCATTATACACATTTGTGTTATACACACTTTCAGCAGCCATGATTAAAGGAGTAGTTCACTTCCAGAATGAACATTCTATCATTTACTCACTCTCTACTTGTTCCAAACCTGTATGAGTTTCTTACTTCTGTTGAACACAAAAGAAGATATTTTGAAAAATTTTAGTATCCGAACAGTTGATGGAGACCATTGGCTTCCATAGTAGGAAAAATAATACTGTGGAAGTCAATGGTGCCCATCAAACGTTCATTAATAAATGTTTTTTTTTATGTTTTAGTTAACCCTGGTCATAATAACTCCATATCATATGTGTTCATGCTAGGGGTGTAACGATACACGTATTCGTATTGAACCGTTCGGTACGAAGCTTTCGGTTCGGTACGCATTACAAACCGAATGATTAGTTGGACTATTGGACTAAATATAATGTTCTCAGTGCCACTGCGCTCAACAAGGCAGCCCAAACGACGTAAATGGCAGTGTGCTTTCTGCCCCGTGGCGTTCTTTTAAAACAGGTCTATTAGCCTAAATAGAATTAATTATAGGCCTGTAATTAAAATATAAACACTGCAGTCATCAATAAAAATCAATGAAATAAAAAGCTTTAGCCTATTTCAAGCACCGACTTTCAAAAACAACCTGTTTAACACGAAATACGTTTCTTCTCATTTTTTTTTCATTATATACGGGCTACAATAGAAATATTAAGGGAATAAATTAAAACAGTTAGCTATCTACTGTTATCAGCATATGTTGAAGTAGATTGGTCTCTCGTTGTCTCTGAGAGAGAATATGCGCATCAGATGCCGAAAGCTCCGTCATTCCGTTTTTACTTTCACTTTCTGCATAGTGAATTGACTGAGATTAAGACGTTCACCGGCATAACTCTTGCACAAAGTTTGCACGTTGCTTAGACCTATGTGATATCCATTGGCTCGCCTTCATGGTTTAAAACAGAAATATTTCCAACATTGCGACAATTACCCAAGCAATTACCCCCCTCCCCGTATCGAAAACGTACCTAACCATGACACCACTGTGTCGTATCAAACCGAACCGTGAATTTTGTGAACCGTTACACCCCTAGTTCATGCATGCATTTCATTCTCTATTTGCTCTCTATCTTTTGTCTGCATGTGACCTTTTCTCTCAATTTGGCCGAATCTCACTTTCATTGTGTCTCGTCTCTGTCCAGATGACCATCTCTCTGGCTCTGTCTACGGTGTGAATGCGGGCCGCCATGTCCCAGATGCTCCACATGGAGATCCCTAACTTCGGCAGCATGGTGCTGGGCTCCCTGAATGAGCAGCGGCTGCAGGGCCAGTACTGCGACGTCTCCATCGTGGTGAAGGGCCAGGCGTTCAAGGCCCACCGCGCCGTGCTGGCCGCCAGCAGCCTGTACTTCCGCGATCTGTTCAGCGGCAGCAGCAAAGCACAGTTCGAGCTGCCGTCCTCCGTCACGCCGGCCTGTTTCCAGCAGATCCTCAGTTTCTGCTACACGGGGAAGCTGACCATGGCCGCCAGCGAGCAGCTGGTCGTGATGTACACCGCCGGGTACCTGCAGATCCAGCACATTGTGGAGCGTGGCATGGACCTCATGTTCAAAGCCAACTCGCCACACTGCGACTCAGCCACGGCCTCCATGGATGAGCCCAACTCGGGCCCACAGAGTCCCAGCACCCACCCGCTGGTGCCGGCTCGCAGGATCAAGCTGGAGGAGCCGCTGGCCAAACGAGCCGGCAGGGGCGACGGGACGCGTTCTGGACGGGGCATGCCGCTGTTCTCGTGGGGCGCGTTTCCGTCCGGGGCGCCGGCGTATCTCGGAGAGCGTTCCAGTCCGGGAGCGTCCAGCCTCCCGACCACCGACAGCCCCACATCGTACCAGAACGAAGACGAGGAGTTCGAGGAAGAGCCGTTCGACGCAGACGAGACCTACAGCCAGATGTGTGGCCGCTCGGCCAACCCTTACGGAGGTACAGCAGCCTCTACTTCTGTCCAACTCACTTCTGATGATTTGAATGACAGGCTAATGATAGCTGAACATATGAGGTTATGTTTGTTTAGAGATGAACTGCTCGACATGTGGCAAATGGTTTGAAAACGATAACGTGCCAGTTATGAAACTGGCCAACACGTGGGAAAGTTTAATGTTTCATGAATTCTGCCTTTTGATAACCTGCAACATTCTCAGTTTCAATTACAGTAGTATATATGTAATCCTGATAAAATGTACACTGACTGATAATGTTTTGGGCGGAATATGTGTTGGTCTGATATTCAGAAGAATTTATTTTAATGTAATATATTTATAGTATAGTATATACAGTGGGTACGGAAAGTATTCAGACCCCCTTAAATTTTTCACTCTTTGTTATATTGCAGCCATTTGCTAAAATCATTTTAAGTTAATTTTTTTTCCTCATTAATGTACACACAGCACCCCATATTGACAAAAAAACACAGAATTGTTGACATTTTTGCAGATTTATTAAAAAAGAAAAACTGAAATATCACATGGTCCTAAGTATTCAGACCCTTTGCTGTGACACTCATATATTTAACTCAGGTGCTGTCCATTTCTTCTGATCATCCTTGAGAGGGTTCTACTCCTTCATTTGAGTCCAGCTGTGTTTGATTATACTGATTGGTCTTGATTAGGAAAGCCACACACCTGTCTATATATGACCTTACAGCTCACAGTGCATGTCAGAGCGAATGAGAATCATGAGGTCAAAGGAACTGCCTGAAGAGCTCAGAGACAGAATTGTGGCAAGGCACAGATCTGGCCAAGGTTACAAAAAAATTTCTGCTGCACTTAAGGTTCCCAAGAGCACAGTGGCCTCCATTCCTTAAATGGAAGACGTTTGGGACGACCAGAACCTTTCCTAGAGCTGGCCGTCCGGCCAAATTGAGCTATCGGGGGAGAAGAGCCTTGGTGAGAGAGGTATGTCTCTAAAAATGGCTGTCCACCAACGTTTACTATCCAACCTGACAGAACTGGAGAGGCTCTGCAAGGAGGAATGGCAGAGGATCCCTAAATCCAGGTGTGAAAAACTTGTTGCCTCTTTCCCAAAAAGACTCATGGCTGTATTAGTTCAAAAGGGTGCTTCTACTAAATACTGAGCAAAGGGTCTGAATACTTAGGACCATGTGATATTTCAGTTTTTCTTTTTTAATAAATCTGCATAAATGTCAACAATTCTGTGTTTTTCTGTCAATATGGGGTGCTGTGTGTACATTAATGAGGAAAAAAAATTAACTTAAATGATTTTAGCAAATGGCTGCAATATAACAAAGAGTGAAAAATTTAAGGGGGTCTGAATACTTTCCGTACCCACTGTATATGCAATATAATTTATGGAGTATACAGGGCTCAACACTAAGGATTTTTTTTATACTGGCCCAGTCGGGCCAGTGGTTCAAATTTTGACTTGCCCTGCCAACAGTTTCACTGGCCCTGCCACAAAAAATGAAATAGTTGTTGTTATCTTTGTTTTTGACTCATGTTATCTTGTATTCCAATAAATAAGCTTATATGACATCAACATTTTAAATATCAGTTAAAGGGGTCATATGATGCGATTTCAAGTTTTCCTTTCTCTTTGGAGTGTTACAAGTTGTTCGTGAATAAATAAGATCCCTAAAGTTGCAAAGACTAAAATCTCAAACCTCAAAAGAGATATTCTTTATCTTTTTTTTTTTACTTAAAAGTTAAGACTGGTCCACGCCCTCCTAAAACGCCTCGTTTAAACACTCCCCCACATGTCTACGTCACGTTGTTGGAAGATTTGCATAACACCGCCCAAATGTTCACGCAAAGAAAGAAGGCGTAACTTTATTGTTGCTGCCAACGCCGCCGCCATGTTGTGAAGACGCTGTGTGTTTCGTTTCCTTATTGTCGAGCCTTGAGTATAGTACAGTATAGGATAGTATATATGATAATATATATAGTAAAATAATTTTTGTCTGTTTTCTTCTATGTACTGTTCAAAAGTTTGGGGTCAGTGTTTTTTTTTTATAGAAATTGATGCTTTCAAAATTAATTTTGAAATTAATATAATTAATTAAGGATGCATTAAATCAATCAGAAGTGACAGTAAAGACATTTATGTTACAAAAGGTTTCAAATTTCAAATGAATGCTGTTCTTTTGAACTTTCTATTCATCAGAGAATCCTGAAAATGTAAATATATCACGGTTTCCATTATATTCAGCAGCACAACTGTTTTCAACATTGATAATAATCGGCAAATCAGCATATTAGAATGATTTCTGAAGGATCAGATGACACTAAAGACTGCGATAAATTACATTTTAACGTATATTCACATAGAAAACCGCTATTTTGAACCGTAATAATATTCAGCATTACAATATATTATCAATATTTATTACTGTATTTTGATTAAATAAATAGTGAGCAGAAGAGATTTCTTTGAAACTTGATCTTACTGACCCCAAACTGGAATGGTAGTGTTACATGCAACACACCACTCTACTTTTAGCAATGGAATAAAGGATATATTATATATCCTCTGGGATCATTTTAAATCATTCACTACTAAACCAGAAGCTGCTTCCGTTGCTGTTAAATAGGTTACAGGCTCATTACTTTGGGTCAGCGTGTGAAGTTGTCTAGAGTAGTGGACAGTCCGTTAAGATGAGCCAGAGCCAAAAGTAAAACTAATGCACCTAATTATATTTCAGGATGTCTGCTGCAGTGAGTTGTAATGGCCGTTTCATCCCTGAGCTTACAATTCATTATAACGACTGTCAGAATTGTTAGTGAGCTGTCAAAAATGCTGTTGTGAGGCATAAAACAGGCAGCAAAGAAACGTGCGAGAACGTGGGTGGTTCATGATATCAGAGACACGTGCTGAAGATAACCTGATGTATTATTACAGTGTGGAGAGATACAGGCTTTCTTCAGAATGCACTCACTCTAAAGCATAGTTGGAGGGTCATTCTCAGGACATATTGCTAATAAATCACATATCATAATTAAAATTTAATAATAACCCATTTTACTTTCAAATTTACCAACCTTGATACATTAAAAATGGAAAAAAAGATCAGGGCAAAAATGACTAATAGTGGCCCGAATTAGTAAATGTTACTTCCGTTTTCTCATACTTTGTATGGAACCTTGTTTCCGCCATTGGGATAAAAACATAATTTTTTTTTTATCTCACAATTCTGACTTTTTTATATCTTATATCTCAATTCTGAGAAAATGTAAGAGCTGTGTGATTAAAAAGTCACAATTAGTTTTTTTTGTTTTTTTTTTTACTCCATGGCGTGTAAAAGAACAAAAACTAATTGTGAGATTAAAACTCAAAATTGCAAGGAAATTACCGCTTCTCAGAAAGATCAATTTATGTTTCTCAATTCTGACTTTTTTTAGGGGAAAAAAGTCAGATTTGTGAGATCAAAAGTCAGAATTGCCTTTGTATTATTATTATTTTTTTATGTTGTGGTGGAAATAAGCTTCCATAATTTGCGCCAACCAAGATCAATCATTTTCAGAAAAAAATATTTTCCCAAAACAAAGTTGAGCTATTAAGCTTTGAAGCCAATATAAATGTAAAAAAGAAGTCAAGTAAAAAATGATGGCGGCACTCACTTCAACTATGAAATTATGAAATACCAAATCATAAATTCAGGACTTTTCTCCCAGAAAGAACAGGCTACTTTTGAGATAAAAAGAACATATTTAAAGCTAAATTTAGGTATAATTCTTTGTATTAACCATGCAAATTTGCTGCATCTGTCTAATGATATTCCAATGGAAAAACACCAACTTTCTGTTGTAACAGTTGTTATGCTAATGTAAGTTGGGTTTGCTGTTCATTACATCAGTAGTATATGGAGACACACATGAGCGTTTCATGAGAAAGAGCCTGAGGTTAATGAGTCAGAGTTTGAAGAAAGTGAGCTGAAAGGTCAAATTCAGAGTGAAATGCTGCCTGTTATGAACATTCCTCCATGTTGATCTATTGTCTGCTGTGTGTTATCGGTTAGAACGAGAAGAGTTCCTGTCTTGATTTGTCCCGTGTGTTTGGTAACTATTCAGATCTGTCCTGACTGTAGAAGCGGCCGTACAGGAGCTTGTGTCTGTAATCAGTCACCGCTCCAGAGGGTCACATTGTGGGTTATTTGAGAGCTCGCACATCTTTTGTGTGTGTGTGTGTGTGTGTGTGTGTGTGTGTGTGTGTGTGTGTGTGTGTGTGTGTGTGTGTGATTAGCGAGTGTCAGTTTAAGGACTGAAGGACAAATGGGAAGCAGAACTTTTCTATTAGTTGTGCCAGTGCAGAGATTTATTGAGTTGTGACGAGCAGGCACTTCCCCCGAATAGAGTCACTGTAAAAATGTCTACCTAATTCTACTTAACTTACATTTTTAAGTATCAAATAGGCTGTACAAGTTATATAGCTCATTTTTTAAAAATCTTGTGTCGTTGAATTCCAAAAACATAAGGCAAGGCTCTACCAGGTGAATAAGGTAAAGAAAATAAATACAGATAAATAAATAATAGATATCAGTATTACTGATATACTGATATTTTGGTTGCACTTTATTTTACAGTACGTGTACTTACAGTGTACCTACCTAAGAAAGTTCTGGTAATATAAGGTAACTACATGGGGTAGGGTTAGGTTTAGGGGTAGGTTCAGGGTTAGTACCCAGTTATTACCTAGTTATTGTAATTACTATAATAAGTACATAGTATGTACATGGGGAACAGGACTGTAAAATAAAGTGCTACCGATATTTTTGTATTGGCTTTCTGAAATGTTATGCGTAAATATGCTATGAAATATGGCATTATCTAATTAAATGCAGACTAATTTGCATACATTTCCAGAATTTAAATCTTAACATTTAAAGATAAAGCCAGGTTGAAAATTGTTGACATATTGCAGGTTTCTTCCAGAGAGGATTTTGAATTTCTCTCTCTTTTTTTTTTTTTACTCTAGATAATCAGGAAATACTGTCAACAGACAGAAAACAAATACATTTTCACCATGCTTTTAGGAAAAAACAATAGTTTTAAATCAGAGCGAATGATATATGAACAAACCCCTCTGTAAAAGCCTTCAGAATATAGATATAGCAATATTTGGTGTATGTAAGTGCTGCTGAAGTGGAGAAACAAACTTTTGAATTGATATGGATTGGAAATGAAATCAATAGTCGCAAGTAGATAAAGTGCAATAAAATAAACACTTATAAGTGTATTTTAGATGTGTCTTTCCACTAATTTGAAACAACACTTTATGAAATGCCAAATCGCCCAAAATCTCAAAATTGACTGATGCATGAAAATCTGTTTTTGCCTGTAGTGTCTCACCTTGGATTGGTTAAATGATTTTGATGAGTTAAAGTAAATAGATTATATTGAGTGTATATAATATTTTCTACAGTGTGCAGAACAGGGCCTGAAACTCTTAAAGGGTTAGTTCACCCAAGAATGAAAATTCTATCATTAATCACTCACCCTCGTGTTGTTCCAAACCCGTAAGACATTCGTTCATCTTCGGAACACAATTGAAGATATTTTTGATAAAATCTGAGGGCTCTCTGACCCTCCCATAGACAGCAAGGTAACTACCCCGTTCAAGGTCCAGAAAAGTACTAACGACTTTATTCCACATTTTCGTCTCACTTGTGGACGCGCGTTCACGACAGTATCATGACGCGAGCGTGTGGCGGCGCCGGCGCTGATCCAGATCCGGCGTTATGACGTCATGAACGCGCGTCCACAAGTGACGCAGTAGAGACGAAAATGTGGAATAAAGTCGTTATTTTTGTTTTCTTTGCGCAATAAAGTATTCTCGTAGCTTCGTAACTTTACAGTTGAACCACTGATGTCACACGGACTACTTTGTCGATCATCTTGGTACTTTTCTGGACCTTGATCGTGGTAGTTACCTTGCTGTCTATGGGAGGGGCAGATTTAATCAAAAATATCTTAATTTGTGTTCCGAAGATGAACGAAGGTCTTACGGGTTTGGAACAACACGAGTGTGAGTAATTAATGACAGAATTTTTGTTTTTGGGTGAACTAGCTCTTTAAAAGTGATTTTAGAAGTATCTCTTTAGATGGACTCAAACAGTGTCGAGTTCTCAAACTTCAGGATCGATTTCACAGCATGACTTATCGTGATTTGAGGCCGTATCAGAGGTTCTGAATGTTTTCGTCACTCCGTTTCTGTTTCTTCCAGTGGCAGAGAAGCCGGAGATGGCGGTCATGCCAGTGTCGCTGGAGAACCGCTCGTGTGTGCTGATCCGCAGGGATCTGGTGGCTCTGCCCGCTAGTCTCATCAGTCAGATCGGCTACCGATGCCATCCCAAACTCTACACGGAGGGAGACCCCGGAGAGAAACTGGAACTGGTGGCAGGTTGGTGAAATCACTCAGTCAGCCCTGTCAAAGTTAGCAAGAGATAACACAAGCATTACAGGAACATTCAGATTAGGAATTGAAAGATTATGTGTAAATTGATTTATGTAGTAATAAAAAGAGAAATCCAAAATTCTGGAAATGTTAAGATGTCAACTAAATCGAACAAGGCTTTATTTGGCTTTATCCAACATTCAGATTTCTGTTCTGGAAATGTATGCAAATGAATGCTTATTTAATTAGATCATGCCTAATTTGCATATTTAAACATAACATTTCAGAAAACTTGTAATACAAAACAAGTGTCCTAATGTACTGTGAATAATCAGCTGGAGGAAAACATGGTGAGAAAATTAGTTAATAGTTATTAGTTTAAACCTATTGCCCTGTGCTGATGTTCTCCAGTGCCGTTGGTTATTGCCGTATGTCTCTGTGTTGTGTGTTGTTCAGGCACAGGTGTGTTCATGACCAGAGGTCAGCTGATGAACTGTCATCTGTGTGCTGGTGTCAAACACAAGGTGCTGCTGCGCAGGCTCCTCGCCACCTTCTTTGACAGGTGTGTGTCATCACTTTGTTAATCTTTGTTAATCCAGAGCCACTTTAAGGCAAGCCTACAAGATTAGCAAAACTGTGTAATGTTGCAGTACGCAGGGATGGACACCAAAGGCCGGTTTATGAATGGATGTCAGTGGAGGAGAGGCTTCACTACGCTGAATAAATACGCTGCTTTTGTGGGAAAACAGCTTATCGTTTAATGAATCGACAGCCTATTGGCTAATGTTTGGACTGAGATATTTTTAGAGTTCACACTGAAAAAAGTGCTGTTTTATAATTGACGCCAGAGACAATTTTGCGAAGTTTACGGCACTTCTCATTTATTTCTATGGTATCCACAAACAGTGATTGACTGTCGCACAAAGAAATTCAGTGACATTAAAGCTGTAATGTGATTAGTTGTCAAGGCACACGTGATCCACGTTGAACGTTATGCTTTCTCTTACGCTTTTAGCACCATAAACAGTATGAAGAATGTGCTGCAGCAGTAACGACAGACTTTTTTATTGAATGACTATTTAAAGATTTCATAGTTTGTTCAGTAAACGAAACACTTTTGTATGTTTTATCTTTTCCCCATGCTGTACCAAAAAGCGTATCAAACCATGATTTAAGAAATGACTTGCATAGGGAACTATCATTTTGTGTACCGTTACACCCGTACAGTTATGTGCAGTGCAGTTATTGAGATATTGAGTGTTTTGGTCTCATAGCTTTGCTCTCAACTGCACCTTCTGCTGGCTGCTTTTTGAATCTGCAGGAACACTCTAGCAAACAGCTGTGGGACAGGGATCCGATCATCAACCAGTGACCCCAGCCGAAAACCACTGGACAGTCGAGTCCTGAATGCTGTCAAATGTACGTTATGCTCTATGTGTCATCACATTCATTACACCGCCCTGCATCATATCTGCTGAATGAAATCCAATAATTATTTCTTAAATCATTTTGTGTTCTGATTCCAAAAATAGGGTCTGTTTTGCTCAAGCATGTCGTGCTTTTTTACAAAATATTATGCTTTGCTTTCGACAACCATTAGTATGGTGAAGAAGTCTTGTATTTTGCCTTAATCAGCAGAAAAAACACCACAAACACATGATTCCTGTCTGGATCTGAGCAGATTGTTCATGCTCTCAGCCCATTTTCACATGCATGACATTATTTGATGCCTGAACCTGATTTCAAGGTCAGAATTATGGATAGCGACAGAAGAAAATGCAAACATGAGCAGATGTTTTCTGCTTTTACTGCATCTAAACAGCCACAGAAAAAAAAATAGCCACAGAAAATTACAGATTTTGTGAAAAAGCTTCTTTATTTCTACATTTGTATCTATGTAAGTTTCTTTGACATTAAATGCAGTATTTTAACATATTTTCCCACTCATTTGAATATTGTAAGTTAAATGAATACTAATGTCAAAAAAGTAATGTTAAAACTTTTTACATTTGACTGCTTTCATTATTTTGATAAGCCATTAAAGCAGATACACACACAATCACACACACACACACACATATATATATATATATATATATATATACAGTCGTGGTCAGAATTATTGGCACCCTTGGTAAATATGATCAAAGAAGGCTGTGAAAATAAATCTGCATTGTTAATCATTTTGAACTTTTATTTAAAAATTCACATAAATTGAACCTTTCATTGGAGAATAAGAATTTAAAATGGGGGAAAATATCATTATGACATAAATGTTTTTTAGAATGGATTTTCTATAATCCATTCTTTACATCATGTTGTACATGAAGTAAAGGGTTTGTTGATATTGAACTCTGCATCGTCAAATTAGGTAATATATGCCTTTTTTGCAACTTCGCAAAAACATTTTCAGTATGCAGTATAATCAAGCAGTGTCTGAATTCAACATTATCTATTAAAGGGGTCATATGATGTTACAAGCTGCATAAAGAAGTGCATAAAGAAGATCTTTAAAGTTGCAAAGACTAAAGTCTCAAATCCAAATAGATATTCGTTATAAAAGTTAAGAGTCAACCACGCCTACCTAAAACGGCTCGATCTAACACGCCCCCACATGTCTACGTCACGATGTGGGAAGATTTGCATAACGCCGCCCAAATGGTTCACGCAAAGAAAGAAGGCGTAACTTTTATTCTCGCTGTTGCCGCCACTGCCATGTTGTGGAGTCACTGTGTGTTTAGTTGTGAAAGCGAAACTACTTTGTTTGGCCTTCCAAAAGAGGACACAACTAGAAATCAGTGGTTAAGTTGTATTTACAACAGTTCCAGAACAGTTCAACCCAAATATTCAGATGTGTGCAGCGCATTTTATGGAGGATGAGGACTGTTTCCTGAACCTGCAGACTAGCCTACAATGCATCTGTGCTCAAAGGCTGTTTCTATAAAGTGGGGCAGTTCCAACTTTGCAAGGACAGTCTGGCGCTTCTGACTCACAGCCTGTAAGTACGTTTTTTATATTGAAATCATTTGGGAGTTTTGAGCAGTGTAGAGTAGCGCTTGTTGTTTGTTGTTTCTCCGATCACAAATGCAGACATGGTTTTATGTTTATGCAGCGCGATACGCCATGTGTAAAAAGACAGTACAAGTCATGATAATCAGTAATTATGTCCCCACTGGATGCAACAAATGCCTCGTTTGTAATGGGTTTTATTGGTTTTGTCTCGTCTAGTGATGTCCGAATCGCGAACGAATCGTTCTATTTAACCGAATCTTCATAGTGAACCTGTTCACCAAATCGAACTGAATCGTTTGAAACGGTTCGCATCTCCAGTACACACTAATCCACAAATTACTTAAAGGGGTCATATGATGCTATTTCAATTTTTCCTTTCTCTTTGAAGTGTTACGAGCTGCATAAAGAAGTGCATAAAGAAAATCTGTAAAGTTGCAAAGACTAAAGTCTCAAATCCAAAGAGATATTCTTTATAAAATTTAAGAGTCAGCCACGCCTACCTAAAACGGCTCGTTCTAACAGGCCCCCACATATCTACGTCACTATGTGGGGAGATTTGCATAACGCCGGCCACGCAAAGAAAGAAGACGTAACTTTTATTCTCGCTGTAGTATTGTTGTTGCCGCCACCATGTCGTGAAGGCACTGTGTGATTCATTGTGAAAGCGAAACTACTTTGTTTGGCGTTCCAAAAGAGGACGATATCTGCTTCGTCATGCCTAGAGCTGATCCGTGCTGGTTGCTGAGGAAATACAACAACTTCGCTCTGTGGATCACCGGATCGGCTTTCACCGTGGACGAAGCGGAGTCCAGCCCGGGGTCGTCACATGTGGTTGCCGCAAGAGCTCCGGACGCTCCTTCGTCGAATCCACCGGCCGCGCCGTTCTCAAGCCTGTCATTTCTCCGATCACAAATGCATGGTTTTATGTTTGCGATCCCAGAGTTATTCAGTTACTCCTAACAGTACATTGACTGAACTGCTAAAAGAGAACAGATGATGGGATGTGCACGAGCAGAGGAGCTGGACTGAGTCTCGTTCTGTTGGGAGATGGCATCACAGTATGTTAAGGGGCGTAACATTTCCGTCACACGCTTGAGGAATTCAGCCAATCACAACGCACTGGATAGCTGGCCAATCAGAGCACACCTCGCTTTTTTAGAACAATGAGCTTTGTAAAAATCGACGCATTTCAGAAAGGCGGGGCATAGAGGAGAAAACATAATGTACATTTTATGGAAAATAATGGGGTTTTTTTTACCTGAAACCGCATAAACACATTGCATTACACCAAATACACAAAATAATGTTCTTTTTAGCAACGTCATATGACCCCTTTAATTCCTGTTCCTTATTGCACACAAATCATACAGCTTTAGTTTTCTTCTCTTTCAAGCAATTAATATGTGCTCTTTTTTCTAGTTTACTGTCAGAACTTTGCGCCCAACTTTAAGGAAAGCGAGATGAATGTCATCGCCGCCGACATGTGCACCAATGCACGGCGCGTGCGGAAGCGCTGGCTTCCCAAGATCCAGTCCATGCTGCCGGATGGGATGGAGATGTACCAGGGCTCGGCGGTGGCGGCAGGCATCAGTCTGGGCATCGGCGGCCTCCCGGTGGGCATTCAGCTGCCCTTCGAGCCGGACTTTAAGAACATGCTATCCTCGGGCCTGAGCCTCTACACCGAGCGCAAGGAAGCCGCGAGAACTCACTTACCACTGGATGCCGACGGCCCCGATATCCCACGGGATGGAGGCGAGGAGGAGACGCAGGACGAGGAGGAAGAGGCCCAGACCGACAGCGCCGACGGGACATTGGGGGTGGGGCCTGTCAAGTCCGAAACTGAGGGCAGGGCCAGTGTAACCACACCCCCTGACAGGCAGCAGCAGGAGGAGGAGTTTGTGGACGGCTTGAGAGTAAACGGGCAGTGAGACTGGAGAACCCGGCCTTCAGTTCATATCCACCATGTGAATAAACACTGAAGGAGGAATCAAACACACACAGGCATCGATCATGAAGAACACACGAACACACATGCATTTGATTTTGCAAATGCTGGATTTCCAGTCGGACGGTGGCAGGACGTTCATCATCATGTGCTCCAGAGTGCAGAAGTCACGGGTCGTGTGAGGAAATAACGCCAGTGGCACGGCGGGTGACCTTCATTGTGAAACATTATATTACATTTAGCATGTTCCGTTCTTGAGATCACTTTGCCATAAACACAGCAGTGAATCTCACTAAAGCATGACCAGATCACTTTACACCCCAAAATCAAGAGGATGAAGCTTTTACAAGGGCCACTGACGTTCATGTAGCTACATCAGTGTATGTTTACAGGCATCCAAATAATCTGTTTGTGATCAGATTGATGGCTAAATCTGACTACTTGCTGTCAGTCCAAATTAAATTTTAATCGGATTGAAAGGAGTAATGTAGACCTGAAATAATAAGATCAACACGATAAGATTAAGTATGTAAACACTTAAAAATGACTATTTTCTTAATCAGATTCAATAATAGCTTGCAAAACGTGCACAGTTTACATACTTTCACGTCATACGTACATGTGTATGATTATATACATCTTACATTTTAAGAACTGGTCAGTGGATGAGACTGAATGTTAAAGGGTTACTCCACCCCAAAATGAAATTTTGTCATTAATCACTTTCCCCCATGTCGTTCCAAACCCGTAAAAGCTTTGTCCGTCTTCTGAACACAATTTAAGCTATTTTGGATGAAAACCAGGAGGCTTGTGACTGTCCCATTGACTGCCAAGTAAATAACACTGTCAAGGCCCAGAAAAGTATGAAAGACATCGTCAAAATAGTCCATCTGTACGGTGGGCGAGAAGTGCAAAACAAATCACAATTCTGAAAACAAAATAAATTACAAACGCAAATGCAAGTCTAAAAAACAAAATAACAATTCAGAAAACACAACAACAATTCAGAAAACATTATAACAAGTCAGAAAACACAATGACAAATTCGAAAACAAAATAACAAGTCAGAAAACACAACGACAAATCAGACAAACCGGAAGAGGTAGGTATAGTTTGAGACAGCGCCATTGGTTTGGGATTACTCACCGCTGACTGGACGAGACATCTTTTAATCAATGTATACAGGGAAGAACCAGCCGAAGAACAGCAGATGGATAAGCGCGTGTCGTTGGCTTTTTGACGCGATCGACCCGGGTTCGATCCCGCCTTTTGCCGGACTTTTCTTTTCTGCCTTTTCAAATCTCTTATTAGCAATGGATTCTATTTACACTAAGTGAAAATAGCAGTATTTTTAGCAATATGCTATTTACACTAAGTGCAAATAC